CAGAAGGATTATCGCTCTTAGTTATCCTTCTGTCTTATGAATTTTGTTACTGCATACTATACATTATATTTAGGCATACTATTACGTTCTTCCCTACCCATCCATTTTTAAATCTGAATTATTACTAAATATTTAATTTAAACAATTAGAACATTCAGGGGAAACGGGCGGCAGAATTGTAAAAAATCAGAAAATCAAAGCTAAATCTTTTTATATATAGCTTTATTAATAATAATTGATTACATTATTTTACAACTTCATCGTTACTGATCCAGTATATTAATATAAAATATTATTGTACTTTATTACATCAATATACAACTGGCACTTTAAACTAAGATACTAGTATAAAAATACATGCAATTAATAAAATTAAACCCATTTAAAAAAAAATTATGAAACAAAAACATATTTAAAAATTGCTTCCTTCAAAAATACACAATAATTAAGTTTATAATTTGTATTCATCGGAATAATTTATCAGACCTGTTCAAGAAATTTTCTTCTGATATTTGGAAACAGAATCAAGTACAGTACAAGAAAAATCCTTAAAATGATTAAATGGTTACAATGATAACTCTTTACCATGGTTACATTCCATAATAAACATACAGCCCATACATACATAATGCTTTACAACATTACATAAAGCTTTTTTTTCCTTAATGTTCACACTGCTTCCAGCGCAACCTTTTATTTGAGGGGGAGATGGGTTCTGTCAACTGTACATTCGTTAAAGAAAAAAGATGTTAAATGAATGAACATCTCTCATTAATTCTCAAATGCACTTTGGTCCTCCAGTTACTCCATTGCTTTCGTATTATTATTTTACATATGCGAACTCACAAAATATAATATACCTATTGTCTACCAAGCAAAGGCAAAAGCCAGACACCTACAAGTGCAGCATAACAATTTTTGTAAAATTTTCTAGGAATAACTACTTGAACAGATGAATATTTTGCTGTGCATTATTAATGCTTTTAATTTTAGTCCCAGTATTGATTGCCTTGATTGCCTAAGGCAATCAATACTATTGTCTCTAACTGATGGGCCATAGGCAACATGTGATCACCCAAAGCAAGTTTATGTGGCCTGAAAGGACATTTTAATTATGCTGCATTCAGTATCTTACGATGGTATTGCAGAGATTTCAATGTTTTAGTTATTCAAAATACAGACTTTATTTATTTTTATGCGTACTTGTCAAAAAATAAAAAAGATCAGTCATAAATTTTTGCACTAACAATAATTGCTTTATATATCACCATATTATTTTTATAGCTTTTTTTCACACTCGAAAATTAATAAGAAAGGGTCCCAACTGACTAATGAGCAACTACAATCCATGATGAAGGTAATTTCTAGAAATTTCTCTCCAAGGCTACAAACTATATCAAAATGAACATGCCATCAAGTGTCAAGCTATAGTAAGAAATAAAGTTTAGAATTATTTCCATTTATAAAAATGTGCGTATTTTAGTGCATAGAGAAAAATTTAATAAATAAGAGAAAGAGCTTGTATTACTTATTCTCAAGTTTTTGTCCCACTTATCAGCAAATTTCCTCTGAAAGCTTAGGTTTTTCACAATTTGTTTATTTTTAATTTAAATTAGAGTAAATTATTTAATGATGAATTAAACAGGTTAGAAATATTCAAAAGAAATGTTTAGTCTAAGAATTTAGTATTTAGCTGTTACTATATTTGAATTACAAAGTGTAACCAACAAAAATGTCTTACAAGTACCAAACTTCGGATTTCAGATGAAAAATATATATAAATTTGAAATTTTTCCCTTTCTAATATTATTGTTTATGTATGTTTTCATATATATTTGGTAAGCAAAATTTAAAAATTTATTTAAAATATTTTTTCAATTTATTTATAAATTTTATATTTTGTAAAAAAAAAAAAAATCTGCCACATCAGCTGTTTTCAGATCGTGCTTTTAGCCCATATGCAATTTGAGTTTAAGATCACCAGATTAAGGCTTCAGAAATTGCTTGCTGGAACTGTGGTTAACCAAGAGTGTCACTTGGTTATTCTAGAAAAAGGGAATAAAATCACTAACTTATGGGGTATTTTCTTCCTCCTTCCAGCATGCTTTCGTGGTGTAATGGTAGCACACACAGCATGTATTCGAGAGGTCCAAGTCTGAGTCCCAGTGAGAGCATTGCACATTTTTCCCATTTCCTGCCTCAGAAATCCTAATGGCTTTACAGTGGCACCTAAGCAGATAAAGGTGGTGGACATTAATTCGTCACCACCAGGATTTGGCGAATGGGTCCCATCCTCCCCACTCTTTCTCCCTTCTTCCCGCATGCCTTCATGGTGTAATGGTACACACTCTGTGCATATTTGAGAGGTTCGGGTTCGAGACCCGGCGAGAACACTGCACATTTTTCACGTCTCCTCAAAAATCCTACTGATTCTACAAACTCACAACTTCCATTCACCCTTCGGGATGGTCATGTAAAAACTACAGCATAAGGAATAAATTTGGGACATTTTAATCAAAAAACAAGATAATCGATATTGCTCCTAAAGCATTTTTAACAGCATCTGTTTTAAATTTGAAAAAATTAGGTTTGAACATAGTAATAATATAAAAATAAAATAAACAAATATCTACATGAATGATTATTATATTTAAAATTTTAACATACTGTCATCCAAAATCTTCAATAGATGGTTTTTTTAAAAATTCCATATTAATGTTCAAACTTTAAGGGCATGTAAAACAAAACTTCCATTTCAGAAACATAGCTGCATAAAATTAACTATATAAAAAATATTCTACTATCATAATTTTGAAGCCATCCTCGGTAGCTAATATTGCAGTGAGTACAAATGTGCTAAGTATCAGCTTAAAATATCATACAGTACTGGTCATATCTTCCTAAACAAGAGTCAACTGTATTTTATTTTAATTACCAAAGCAATGTCATCAACCATCTTACATAAAAACTGTTCAAAATACTACTTCAAGTTAAAGAATTTTTTGCTCATTCTGAAATTCTAAATAGGGTAATTTCAAAGATTATAAAAGCATAATTTTATTTGAAAATCCTTGAATTTTATATATCGTGTCCTGTTTTTTTTCATAGTTATTGTAACCAGAATAAAGTAGACATAAAAAGTATTTACTTCTTCAGCTTAAAAACATCCTTTCATAGATCTTAAAAACATATCTTTGAACTAACAAATTTAAATATCAACATTAACAGTACATATGTAGATTAATAAAAGAACTCTACTTTGAGCAAATCATGATCATAAGTCTCACTAGTCGATATTATCTTAGTCAGTACCGCAGCCTAAAAATGCTGGTGTCTTCGTGAAAGCTGCTTTTCTTTCCCCCTTAAAAACTGCTTTTTATATATCTAGGCAGGTACATCTGTGAAGATTTTGGTCCTGGCAAACAGTAGGTAATTTGCACAAAGGTGCTGCTACTTTATAACGGGGCACCAGTTCCATTCACATGATCATGAATTTTCTTCAAGTGACTTCTTTTTTAAACCTTTACACACAGAGACTTTCAAAAACAATGTTTAATAAGAATACTAAAAACATATAATATTTACATTGCCAGCCATTAAAACTGTAACACCAAAAACAGATAAAAGATAATACAGCTAAGTTTATCTTATAGATTCCTTATAAAATAAAGAAGAAATCATTAAATTTTCAGGTATCATGGGACAAACAGAATATGCTATGATCATTACCAAATGTGACTACCAAGAGCAATAAGAACTGCTGCTGTATGATGAAGCATGAGAGAAGATGATGTTATAATGTTCAGGCTTTCATATTCACATATTTACCATCCAATGCACCACTGCTGCAGCATCATGTAGCTGCAGATATCTGCATTACACCACACCATTAAGGACAGGCAACACTGACATGACTCCTATGCAAATAACCTGCGACTCTCAAGACGCATCTCACTACATGCATCACCCCTTGCCATATTTCCCCACAGTCCATATTTCCTGTGCTATGGATATGTGATGTCATAGTAAGATCTCTATGGATCATTCACAAAAGATCTCAGTTCTTCTCACATATTGGTATAATAAAGTCATAATGAGCCTGCATGTTGCTCTGAGATTCTTTCTTGGATTCACAAGTTCAACATTTGCATGATAGTAGTCAGATTATAACAAATGAAGACACATGATAATCCACAATCAAGGTGCACTATTATTCTCCCACAATCATATCCACATACATCCTTCTACCTATGCTACATATAATTGAGAAAGTTAATTACATTCTGACATGTAATGGTCAAGTAATTATTTGTGCAATAATTTACTTTACCATTTCTTACTTTACCAATAACTTATTTCATTATTAATTATGTGCTACATATATTTCCTTATTTAATTATATGCTGCATTGCTAATAGTTTTTATGCATTCAAATTATCTATCTATTATTCAAATTTAATGCCATCAGCTGCTTCTTACTGATGCTGCAATTTAAATGGTCAGCAGTGTACTTACTCTTCAAAAGTTTCTAAATCTCATTTTGATAATTTATCTTCACATGGTATATATTATCTTGCATTGCATAATACCTTACTAACCATTTTCTTTCATAACATTCTCATCAGAGGCGTAGCTCGGGTTTTCAGCGCCCAGGTACAACTGAAGATTTTGTGCCCCTTTCTCTGTTCCAAGAACGGAAAACATTTCATTATAAAATTTAATAACATCAATTTGGCGCCCTCTGAATGCTGCGCACGGGGACAGATGTCCCCCCTTGCCCCACCCTAGCTACGTCACTGATTCTCATCATACGAGAGTAATTTCTAGATTGTTAAAATAAATAAAACAGCAAAATATTTTTTAAGATAAACTTTGTAAAATAAAAACAAATTTAATGAATGTGTACAATTTAATGTCACAAGCTATGAGATGTAACCTTTCAGGTAACATTTGTACTGCATAAAAGCTTGTATTAATGCCATCAATATTATTTGTTTCAGCTTGTAGTCTGAAATGCTTCTGACAAGAATATGGCAAGTCAGCATGAAATTTAAAATTTTGAAGATGGAATGATACCAAAGAATGAAAGATACAATTTCTGAGAAGTTTTTTGGATATTCTAATACTCTCTGATTGGCAGTGTTACAGACGTCCATGATTACTCTATGGATAATCATCTGTTTTGGACAGTACAGTGCTAGAAATGAGTAACTAATGATCTTTACCCACACCTGATCAGAATTGGGAATTTAACATCAATGTTATGAGGTTAGGAAGACTCAGGAGACTGCTGGGGTGTAGACACCAGACAGGACCACAAGATGTTAACCTACTTTCTGTGTAAATACAAGAATGAACACAAAACAATTAAGCTGCCTGCTTACAATGTTGAATATAGCATTGGGTTAATATTTCTCAATGATTCTTATGTTTTTTCAATGTCTTCACTGACTTGACTTCAATGCCATTTTTTGAATGAATTATTTTTTGTAGGTAAGCTGAACATGGATTAAATATTTTTATAGCTGATGGTTTAATTCTTTATGATGTAATGTTAACCATCAATTATAGTATTATTTTATCTACTATAGCAGCTTTTGCTAAAAGTCATCTCACTGTGCCTCCCATGACTTATAAACACATTAACTGGGCCTTAGATAACTAGAAAAAAGTAGTTAGTCCAATAAATCAAATTAACAGTTGTTACAAGCTGACAGCAAGGCAATGATGCCATGAGGCTATGGCTCTGTTATGAACAAGGTGCTCTGCAATTTGGCGGTGACTCCAAAATGGTACAAGATGTGTTTTAGGGCATGATTTAAATCTTTCAGTCCTGCTAAACATATATCTTTAAACATAAATAGCTGTATTTTCAGTTGCTTGGCTGGTATTTTCAGCCCTTCATATACTTCATATAAAAATGATAAGAGATTTTGCAGAATGACAGCACACCATATAGTAAGGCCAGGAAGCATTTCAAGATTGATTTCCAACTATACAAATGGCTAGGTCATACATTACCTATGCCAGATATGGACCCAGAACACTTATGGGGAAACAATTATAAAAAAGCATTCATGAACAAGATTGTTGGATTACTGCACTTCATCACGCTACAATTGACTCCATACAAAAATAAGTAAATAGCCATGACTTTTAGCATTTCAGTCTATACGTAGACTGTAATATGTGCTACTTGGAAAATTAAATATTTTAATGCTACATTTGTAATTTATTATTTATCACAACTTATATTTATGTATGACTGCAGTTTCTTATCATGTGCATGCACACAGTTAAAAATCACATGAACAATATACAAGGGGCTTTCTTAAAACCATTATTTGATTTTAAATAATATATACAGATTTAAAATTGAGCAATTTTCCAGGCCTCACTTTAGGCTGATGATATGACAAACTTTCATTTTAGAAATTCTCTTTTCCAAGACCAGCAGTGATTCAAAATCTGTATGTCCATTCTCCAGTGGTTGTCAGCTCTATGTAAAAACTCATTTTTGTTTGGAGTATGCAAGTGCAGCAGCATTATTGGAAGTAAATGTTTGCAGATCAGTGCTGCCCGTCAGCAATCAAGTGGATAAGAATGCTGAATATCAAATATTTATTATAAGTTTGATTCCCAGCAAATAGTTTGGCTGCATGGGGTTGTCCTATGTGATTCCTTCAGAAAGCCTTCCATGAAGCCAGCCAGCATTTCTCAGATTGACAATTCTCATTTACTTTGATATCATCAATTATATTTCAATGACCAAAATCAGCTTCTCATACAGTCAATTTAATAATTTTCATGGAATAAAGTAATGTCTATCAAGATGATTTAAGACCATTAAAATGCTAGCTATATCAGCAAAGTCAGTTAGTCAAAATACCTTGTTCAAATATACATAAAACTGAGATAATTTTAATACCTTCATGCTAAGAGATGCACATTTTTTAAATTTTAATTTTGCAAATATAAACATCCCTGTTATGAAATTATTACAAGCACTGAGAAGAGCATTCTCATGGCAATTTCAATGTTTTCATTTTTCATGTACATCATATACATTTAGGATATTATACTTTCACTGTTCAATTTTTTGTAACATTTAACATCTCAGATTTGTTTTAGAATAGAAATGCAATTCCTGATGAGGGAAAGAGTCACAATAAAAACAATTCCTCATAAGCAAAACAGTTACAATAAAAACAATTCCTTGGAAGCAAAATAGTCACAATAAAAAGTTTGCTAGCTTTACTTCGTAATTTCTATGGAATTAATTAGAGATTTCAATTGTTATATATAACAAGAAAAAAATGGCCACAAATGAAAAACTGGGCTTACTGGAAATGTTACTACAGAACTGCTACCTGAAAACAAACACAGAATGAAAAAATGAAGAATCAAACACAGAAAATTTGGCATAGGAGGTTTGAATATATCATTATTTTTAACAATGACACTCTGCAGCTCCTTAACGCATGTAGCTCTTGACAGGCCCTGTATGTATCCATGTGTTAAAAAGTCACTGTTAAAGATACTTTTGTGGTTAACATCAAAACTTTTGGGAAATCGCTATATTTCACTGAAAGCTACTAAAATCATTATTTCAAATTAAAGCACTTCTACCAGATAGAAATTGTTCCAAAACTGTTAGTAGTGTAACAAAATTTACACCAGGGACTTCTTGCAAAATGAATTCGAAATATTTCATTTGAAGCCTAGGAAAACACAAAATTATAACATTTATATCACTGAGTGAAAATCCTTTATGTGCTAAAAGCTGTGCTATGCAAATAAAAAGATACATAGAAATTATATTCATGCCCACATTAGTACATCCCGCATTTCATATATATAACAGACTATGATGTTGGTTATATTTTAGAATAAGTCATGGAACTCGGTGCATTATGGAACAACAGAAAATCATTATAGTATTCTAATAAAAATTGCTGCCATAAGAAAAATTCTTTCAAGTAAAAATATCCCACAATAAATTTTGATAATCTGTTATACTTGTCATGATGTAATTTATCTCTTTTGTCAAGTCACAATTACACATCATTCACACAAGTGTGCTCTCTGGAAGTGATACATAACATTGACCTTCAAAATAAAGAAGTACACAATTAACCATGCACAACCTATTTGTGGTTATGAACTCTCTTAGATATAATAAGAATTATGTATTAGCTATTTTTCGATTCATTCATATCAAGTCTCAAAATACACCTGCTATGAGACTCACCATACATATAATGGCTCACATCTTTATAGCATATTTGTATTTTTAAAATTAATTTACACAAAATACCCTACTAGATATTAAAGTTCCCTCCCCCCACTTGAAATCTCAAAAACCTTTGTTTGGTGTAATAATTTTGATACTATATGAAAACATATTACAAGAATGAAATTAGCAGTTTAAAACCATCAATTCTTTGGCAGAATACTTTAGAAATCTCAGTTGGACATGAAAAAGATAATTACAAGTTCTATTAAAAACTTCAATATTGGCATTGCCACTCGTCCTCCTCGTCGGTCATATTTTTTTCAGATCCACACACACAAAGTTTAATGGATAGGACATTTTGAACACATGTAAAAATACTTTCTTCTGCTATTGGACACTTTGAACCTTATCTCATCCTTTTTCCAAGAAGTTCCCATCTGTCTAGAAAGATTGTAAATGCTTGTGTAATTTGTTTCAAAAGCAAACCAATCAATTCAAATCAGTTAATGGGAAATTTACCAATGGAGCGAGTCAATCCAAGCCCAACCAGAGATAATCGGAATAACCGCGAAAGTTCCATTAATGACTAAAAAGAAAAATAATAAAATTTAAAATTACAGTTAGGCTGCACAAAGTAGACTTTCCGTGTAAGAAGACTCAGTGGTCTCGTGCTTGCTAGGCGTTCAAACCGACATCATACACTCAAAACACCCACACTTTATCTGGTTAGACGAATTTTAACCAAATGGAATGGATTATTTTCAGCTCGAAGAGATTCAATACTTAAAAAAAAAATTTTTTTTTTTTTAGAGGCTAACATTGTTCTGTCCTTTCATTTTGGTTCGGCATTTAAAATATTCCCAAATTCTATTTTTTTCCTATTCTGACATAATCGATGTGAGGTAGATCAAGCCATGTCCGTCCGATGATTAGATCAACTGGCTGTGCATTATCAGGTACAAGGTATATATTTATGCCTTGGCCTTTTACATTATCAACTTCAATATGGGCTTTATGGGCCAAATTTTGACCCCCCATATCTCGGGCCCTAATTGTCCGATCGACTTGAAATTTGAAACGTGGCCTAACAGGGTTTCGGCCTTCCTCCCCATGCTCCGCAGTCTTCAACCTTTTGTTTCTTCAACAGAAGCGTTGAAGTCAACTTTCTTTTGACACATACACACAGTTTGGAAAAAGATGGTCATCTTTAGAATTCAGCAAGTTTATAATTTCTTAAGTTTTTTGTTTCTAATAGGTTTCAGTTTTTAGCTGATTAAAGCTTGGATTATAAATTTATATTATTTATAGAAATCTCTTATAAAAAGTTTTTCGTTTCCTTGGTATTAAAAGTTTAGGATCGCATAATCAAGGACCACCCAATTTTTTTAATGTTGTTAAAATGACAATTTAAAAGTGTATTCTTTTGCTCATTAATTTAAAATTGCTTTTGAAAGTCGGATTTACATTTAATGTAAATTTCACAAATTTTGTTTTTCTGAGTAGTGAATGCTTTATTCATTTTTTCCAAGTGTTTCAAAAGCATGTAGGGAAAATTCTGGATACATTTGAGATTCAATCTTTTAGTTTTAATTGAATTGTAGAGTTTTAAATGAAAATTTAATGGTTCTTTTTTTCGGTTCTTGATCTCAAATGTTTCAGAAGAACAAGCATGCATTCAAAATATATTAATCAACTTTTATGAAACTTTAATTCATTTTCCCCTGATGAGTTCTGAATTGGGGTTTCAGTAGGAGGAAATTAATATTTTTATTTTTTCATAGTTTTTCCTTTTGGAATTTTTACTTTGAGTTTATTCTACTGATGAATTCTTATATTAATTTTGATTTGTTTAAATACAATGTGTGACCTCTTATTCACGGTTGCAATTACCGTAATTTCGCACGTATAGTCGCACCATCCTATAGTCCGCAGACACGATTTTATATAAAAAAAATTTCAAAAATCGTCAGATAGTCCGCACCACCGTATAGTCCGCGGACTATACGTTCGAAATTGCGTTTTTTTAATACGGCAATATCCCCATGCTTTTTAAACACATCCTTTTGTTTGCGCCAATTTCTCACCGCTTTCTCGTCCACTTCAAAATAACGGGGTAAAATCCTAGTATACGGTGCAGCCTTGGCGCGACTTTGAAAATTTTCGCCAACACCAAAAATGATCCAAAGAACGCCTATATATATAGTATACACATAGTATATGTATATATACTATAGTATATACTATGTTTAACTATATATTTTCTTTGAATGACCCGTTAACTACTCATCGTATA